ATATAAATTATTTTTTAAAATTTAATTTAAGTTTAATAATGAAATAATTTATTTTTGGTTTAATAAGATAACATTTTATAAAGATAATAATTAAGTATATCTTGTTAGAACTCAATTATTATCCTAATTATATTTTAGATTTTTTATATTTAAAATGAGATGTTTTTCCTGTATTTGATTGTGTTTATCTGCAGTTAGTTACACGAATTCAGTTATGGGAAGAAATCGGATAGAGATGAAATCGTTTAGAGATGAACAGGTTTAAGAGTTTTAAGAGTTTAAGAGTTTTTAAGAGTTTTTAAGAGTTATAGCCAAATGCTTTATAATATAGTATAGATAAGTGTTTGGTAACCATAAAAATAGATCATCACACAAATACAAAATCTATGAAATGAAATATGAGATTCTTGAAATAAAGAGTACAAAAAACTTATCCTTTTGGAACAAACCTAACCACGTTTTTAGTAGAAACAACACTCCACCGATCATCGGCGATTCCTCCCGTCAACCATGGCTTCCCTATCCTTCCTCTCTTGCCGTCCTACCTCCTCCTTACTCCGCCGCCACCACCACCACCACCATCACAATGCCGCCATCACTAACCCTACACACCTTCCCGCCATCACTTCTCCTCGATTTCTGACCATTAAAGCCTTCTCTGCTCCATCCCCCGTCCAACCACTAACCCAAGACGATCTCAAAAAACTCGCCGCCGACAAGGCCGTAGAATACGTCACCTCCGGCATGGTTCTCGGACTCGGCACCGGTTCCACCGCCGCATTTGTCGTCTCCAAAATCGGTGAACTCCTCGCCTCCGGCCAACTTAAAGACATCGTCGGCGTACCCACTTCGAAAAGAACCCAAGAACAAGCGGCATCGCTGGGAATCCCTTTATCGATTCTCGACGATCACCCGAAGCTCGATCTTGCAATCGACGGTGCAGATGAAGTTGACCCAGATCTCAATTTGGTCAAAGGCCGCGGCGGCGCTCTCCTCCGTGAGAAGATGGTGGAGGCGGCTTCCGATAAGTTTGTGGTGGTTGTGGATGATTCGAAGCTTGTTTCTGGTTTAGGTGGAAGTGGGTTAGCAATGCCGGTGGAGGTTGTGCAGTTTTGTTGGAAGTATAATCTGGTTAGGCTTCAAGATTTGTTTAAAGGTGAAGGTTGTGATGCAAAGTTGAGATTGGATGGAGATGGGAAGCCTTACGTTACTGATAATATGAATTACATTGTGGATTTGTATTTCAAGACACCAATTAAGGATGCATGGGCTGCTGGTAAGGAGATTTCATCGTTTGAAGGAGTGGTGGAACATGGGTTGTTTCTGGATATGACCACCGCGGTCATTATCGCCGGAAAAGATGGAGTTAGTGTGAAGAGCAAGTGAATTGAGGAATTGGTATGCACAAAATCTTGAAAACTTATCAAACTTTATATGGATTCATGGTATAGTTTCAGTAGCACATGTTATAACTTGTGTAGATTCTTGAACACTTATCAATCTTTATATGGTTTCATGATATAGTTTCAGTGATCCATGTTATAACTTGTGTAGATTCTTGAAATCTTATCAACCTTCTATGGATTCTTGATGTAGCATTAGTAAACCATGCTGTAACTTCTGTAGATTCTTGAAAATTGATCAACTTTATGTGAATTCATGATGTACTTTTTGTAAACCTTGTTGTAACTTGTGTAGGTTCTTGAAAATTTATCAACTTTATATGGATTCTTGATACGGTTTTAGTGACCCATGTTGTAATTTGTGTAGATTCTTGAAGATTTATCAACTTTATATGGATTCTTGATATAGTAATTCATGTTGTAGCTTCTGCAGATTTGATTCATGGTAATTGGACTTCTGTTTATATGGATTCTAGAAAATATATCAACTTCATATGGATTCTTGATATTTCTGTAGATTTGATTCATGGGACATTGGACTTCTGTATATATGGATTCTTGATAAGGTTTTAGTGACCCATATTGTAACTTGTAGATTCTAACCACAAGGGTGGTGTCTGATTTGTTTGAGCTTGGTTCCAAAGGTCAAAAGTACCAGGAGGTCCCCAGGTTCAAATCCAAGGAGGAATAAAAATCCCCTTGTGGCCATGGAGGTTCAAATGCGGTGACTCCGGGCTATCTGCAAAGCAGGTGGTCGCCCTGGGATTAGTCGACTCGCATAGCGGGTTGGATATCCAGGTTAATCAAAAAAAAAAAAAAAAATTGTAGATTCTTGAAATTCATCAACCTTCATATGGATTTTTGATATAGTTTTAGTAAACCGCGTTGTAACTTCTGTATGTTCTTGAAAATTTATCCACTTTATATGGATTCTTGATATAGTTCTTGTAAACATGCTGTAACTTGTGTAGATTTGATCCAAGGGTATTTTGACTTTGGGTTTAAATGGATTCTTGATGTAGTTTTAGTGAACCCATGTTGTAACTTGTTTGGGTTTGATTTTTGGGCATTCGACATCGGTTTAAATGGATTCTTGATGTAGTTTTGGTAACCTATATTTTCTATAGATTTGATTCATGGGCATTTGACTTCTGTTTATATGGATTATTGTTATAGTTTTAGGGGTTGTTTACCAAACGCTTACCAGGTGGGCGCTTACTGCAAGAGTCACCACTCTCATTTACCTTAAGAGATAACATTTCCGGCCATCAAAATGGATTGACGGTAAGCGCTTATAACCTGGTAAGCGCTTAGCGGGTAAAAGTCATCACCCTCACTTACCGGTTAAGACTCTTGGTTGTTGTTATGCTCACTCGGTAAGATAATTGAACTGGTAAACACTTACCAATGTAAGTATTTAGTAAACGGCCCCTTAGTAACCCGTGTTAACTTCTATAGATTTTGTTTCTTGGGCATTCGGCTTCGGTATATGCATTCTTGGTATAGTTTTAGTAACTCTGGTTGTAACTTGTGTAGATTTGATTGATGGGCATTCGACTTCAAACAATCGGCTTGATCGGGTGAGTCCAAAACAATGTTGAGATGTTACCATTCTTTTTGGGTGTGAAGGTTAATTCTTATCTAATGAAAATATGTCATATACTCATCTTTGAATCTTGATGTATTAGATTGTACAATAACATGAAGATCTCTTTTGTAACTCATATCTTGAATCTTGATCAAGTGTACATGTTTATAGCTCCATATAGTGTTGCTATATATATATATATGTGTGTGTGTGTATGTATGTATGTATGTATAGAGAGGGAGGGAGGGAGGGAGAGAGAGAGGGAGTGAGGTTTTACGAGAACAATAACTAAATAAGAGAACAAGAAAACAGTTGAATCATGTAAAATCACGTTGTCCATACTCCATTTTGTTGACTGTTAGTGTAAAATCACATGTGATTCTGCACGTGATTTGGCTGTTTTCGTATTATCTTATTTAGTTATTGTTCTCGTTTTAACCCCCCTCTCTCTCTCCCTATATATACACACATATGATGTATCGTGTGAGAATAAGAGTTATGGTGAGAATGATGATCAATCCACGACGTCTTGGCTTGGCTTTGATTATATATAGTTAGTTTAAGTGTACGGTTTTATTTTAACAAGTAATATACACTTAGAATCTCATATGTTATGTCGATCGACAAACACCCGATCCGTTTATTGTGGACTAATATTTTCATTGGTGAGTTTTAAACCTTTACGTGACCATATTATAACAAAAGGCTTGAAATTCGAGAATGAAAATTGTCGAGTAAAAGGTGTAAAGTTTGGAATTCAATAAATCATGAGTCGACTCGAGAGATACATCATTTCTAAGAGGTTAGGAGTTCAAACCTTACTAAAGGTGAGAAGAGTGTGTAAGTTTATTTGTTACATTTGTCGTATACAAATATTATATACTTAAAAAAAGTATATGAATTTAGCTAATTCATTAAAACTAATTAATATACATAGAAATGTTATAGTTAAATAACATATAAAAATTTAAATTTAAATAATTAACTAATCGAATTAATATACACTAAAAATGATTACGGTTAGATGATAAATTTATGTCAAATATATAAAAGTGCTATAACTAAACACAGTCCGATTAGAAATGATTAGTGTAATTATGCTCTCATCTCCTCTTGATCTTGTTGCTCGCTCCTCGTCTGAGATGGGAATCAGGTATCAGAAGAGAAGGGAGGGGGTTCACAGTATAAATATGCAAAGGGAAAATTGCATCAAAATGGAACCAACTTTCACCTAATTCCTGTTTTGGGGAACCAACTTTCAAAATCGTTATTTTGGGGAACCAACTTGCACATGCTTCCTATTTTGGGGAACCAACTTTCAAAATCGTCATTTTGGGGAACCAATCTGCACCTGATTCATATTTTGGGGAACCAACTTGCAAAATAATTATAGGAAAATAACTAAAATTCATTTTTTTTCCAAAAGTTAATGCAATAAAATCTATTTTTCTTTTCAAATGTCGTTTTTTTTAATTCAGATATCAAATTGAATATTTTAAAAAAAAAATCCAAATTACCACAACAAAAATTATTTTTTACTAATGCAAAAAAAATCAATTTAATAGAAAAAATAATTGATGCAATTGGTTAGATATAAAAATCTTGAATGTGATATTTAATATTTATTTTTTATTGCATCAATTATTTTTTTTCTATTAAATTTTTTTTTTTTTGCATTAGTAAAAAACAATTTTTATTCTGGTAATTTGGATTTTTTTTTTAAAATGTTCAATTTGATATTTAAATTAAAAAAACAAGATTTAAAATGAAAAATAAATTTTATTGCATTAATTTTTGAAAAAAAAATTTAGTTATTTTTCTATAATTATTTTGCAAGTTGGTTCCCCAAAATATGAATCAGGTGCAAGTTGGTTTCCCAAAATGACAATTTTGAAAGTTAGTTCCCCAAAATAGGAATCAGGTACAAGTTGGTTCCCCAAAATAACGATTTTAAAAGTCGGTTCCCCAAAATAAAAATTAAGTGAAAGTTCGTTCTATTTTGATGCAATTTCCCCATATGCAAATATAAAATATTGTTTTTTATTTTATTTAACAAAAGGAATTTAACAAATAACATGAAAAGAGAGGTAACAGACGTTATTTCTACAGTGTTAAATTAAAGAGCCATATTATTTTGAAAAATATAAGTCAGACACCACAAATATACTTAACGTAAACCAGTGTGACCATTATTGTATTTAATGAAGTTTACGGATTTTGACATTTTGTTTTGTAATTTAGTGTAAATCAAAGGGACCAGTTCACCAAAAATATAGTCAACCGTAAAGAATTAAGAAATATAATTAGAAAGAGAAGTGAATATCGTTTTTCTTGCACTTTATACAATATTATTGATTGGGTCTCATGATTATCCAAAACGTCCATATACTATCTGATTTATTGCCCAATTCATCACCTACCTTAACAGTTAAAAAGCCTGTTAACCCATTTAACTTGAGGGGTATGTGGGTCATGTTAATGATTCCTCTACTTTTCTGTTAAATACTAAAGTATATCTATATATCTCCCATATTTTTCGATCACCACCGTCCCGATTCTCCTTTTCTTGGAAGGATGTCTCAGGTTATGCCTGAACTAATCCTACTAAATTGTTACTACAAGAAAATCAGGATTGATAAACTCAGTCGTCACAATTGTTGTGTACGCTAGTTGTTAACAACTGGGGATCAAAAAGCACCAAATTTGATGACTTATTAAGGGAATCGAACCCTGGTAAGTAGGATATTCCACTGCATCCCCCAAGACCTCAACAATTACGCCATAACCCCTGTAGTTGTCCTGATTCTCATTTCCTTACACCATTTTGTCCCACCTCCAACCACCAATGACCCGATATCACCTCAACCTCCATCATTATCTCATCAATTTCTTCGGTAAAATACCACATCCCCCGTCTCTAGCCTCGATCTTCTTATCCATCTGCTATCCCTTTCAAACTCAACCTACAAGGATTAGTCTCTAACGAACCATTATCCTCTCAAGTTCACATTTGATGTTAGGAAGATTTCTCAACGAACTGATATCACTAGCTTTTGATGGGATCAAAAGGTCCATTTTTTCTTATTGTGAATTTCACCCATCAATGGCTACGAAGTTCTTCCTATTTCCACTAAATTATCGAACAAGAACATTCATATGTACGTAAAAAAAAGTTAATTCTTTTTGCTCATGTAATTACTTGAAAAAAATAGGAACATGGGAAAGAAGGAAACAACTGTGGGATGAGGTCGGTTTCACGGTTTTTATGTGCCAAATGTTAAGCTGTTTCGAGCAAGACAAATGTATGGGATGTGATTCAGGAGAAAGAGATAGATAAAAGGGGTGGTGGATGAAGATTCAAGAAAGATGTTATTAATGACGATTGTTGTAAACCACAAGGGTGGTGCCTGATTGGTTTGAGCTTAGCTCCAAAGGTCAAAAGTACCAGAAGGTCCCATGTTCAAATCCAAGGAGGAATATAAAATCTCCTTGTGGCCATGAAGGTTCAAATGCGGTGATTTCGGGCTATCTGCAAAACAGGTGGTCGCCATGAGATTAGTCGGCTCGCATATCCAGGTTAATAAGAAAAATGACGATTGTTGTAGCCACAATCCAACGGGAAGGGAAGGACACGTGACATCATCTAATTAGTGCTGAAGAAGAGTTCCAAAGAACAGTAAAAACATTCAAAATGCTCAATGAGTTAACCGTGCCAACAACCTTTTCAAGACCTTGTTAGAACAATAGACAAATTAGACAATAAAACACACAATATAAAGGGAAATTGACCCAAATTACTATATTCCACAACCAAATTGACCTCTTAAGTAACTGTCTTTGAACTTTACCCAAAAGTCATTAGGTCCGCAATACCCAGGTCCGCAATTATTACAAACCCACTAAACGACAAAATTTTAGTTTTTTTTGGGCCCAAATTCGTAACGGCAGTTATGTGGATTTGACCCAAATCCCATTTTCCTTGAATACGTAATGCCAAATCCATAAGTATCCACCTTCATAGGAAAATGAGTTTTGGATCAGATCCGTAATAGTTGCAAACCGGTGGTTACAGACTTGACCAAAAAACGTTATTTTTTGTCATTTAATAGGCCCGCAATTAGTATTGCAGATCTAGTGATTTTTGGGTAAAGTCTAGAGAGAAACGGTTAGAGTGTTAATTTGGTTGTGAAATATGGTCATTGGGGTCAATTTCTTTGACATAAAACCTATTTTATAATTATTTCATTTCAGGGACCTAATCTACATATCATATAAAATAGAGGGATGAAACATGTAATTAACTCCGTAAAGAGTTATTTTTAAATCATAAAAAGATCATTTGATAGCATTTAGAGGACGACACCTTTGACAAGCTCAGCACCGTACGTATTTCATTTTTCATCTTCTTCAGCTGACCCAATTAGGGTTTTCAAAATCTCCAAATTTTCCCCCAAATCTTACTACGTATCATGAAGGATTCAAATTTGGATCTGTTCGATCCAAGAACTGCTGTAATGGACGCTTCTGACTATACCATCGAAGTCGCCCGCGGTGACGCCGACTTCGGTTTCGCTTTCAACGATAGCAATTTCTCCGATCGTATTCTTCGTATAGAGATAATTTCTGAATCTGCTGAGACTAGAACCGATGGGGAAGGTTGCACCAGTCTCGCTGATTGGGATAGGAATCGGAAACGCCGTAGAGAAGATATCAAAAGAGAAAATGGTAATTAGTTGATTGTTCTTCAATTTTTTGGAAGTGAATGTATGTTTGTGTGTATATGTTGTTTGAGTTCTTGATGATATACGTGATTTACTTAAATTATTTTGGAATTAGGAGGGTGTTATAAGTGTTAAACCTGGTATGAACAAATTGACACAATAGAATGTATTCGAAGATTGGGTATCGTATGACATGAACAAAGCTGGATTTTATAGACGAATACAAACATCGGTAAATGACTAAAAACCAGTACTTAATTGAGTACGAATTCAAAGCAACTAACATCAATTTGTCCCTAACTTCAGGACTCTTTGTTCAAATATTGACTAAATGAAAACATACTCGATTAATCATTACATACGAGCACCTAAAGACTAGGCCGAGCTTCGTTGAATCCCAACAATAAGATGTCGAGAATTTGAAGGTCATTTTCATGTTAGGAATCTCTTGCCGTTTTATCCTTTCAAAAGATTTCTGACTATATACCATGATGGGACTTTCAGTTCTCATGTTCACGAGTATCTGATATAAGGGGGTCAGATGTGCTAGGAGGATTTTGCTGGGGAACTGACTTTAAGACATTGGTGTACTTGTAAGTGACAGTGGCACATAAATGTTTCTTAATGGTTTATGAAGTTGTTGTGTTGGCATTTTTAAGAAGGTGCTGTGTTGGAATGGCAGTTACCTGGCTGAGAACCGACCGGAAAACTTGTTGGGAAATGCTAATACACATGCCAAATGTACAGAAAAGTTTCTGAAACCAGGAATGATGTGCTGGCTTTGAGTGATTTGAGAAACCTATGCAGTGTTTCTTTTTTTGTAATTTAGTTAAGTCATTAGACATGACGAAAATAATTTGCTGGTATAGAATTGAACTTAGGAAGAATTGACATATTTAAGTAGCTAACAAGTCGATGTTGACAGTTTATTTCATCCCCTCTTTACCTTGTGTCCCTATTTCCCTATTTTCCTACTTTCATAGATGGTACATGTTTTTAATTTTCCATTCATTTGACCTTTTGACAAATGTTTTAAAAAGATCAAGTAGTGTGCCCCTTTTTTATAATGGAAGGAACTATTACCAAATTACTTCTTTAAAATGGACCTCAAGCTGTTTGCTAAATCATATATTGTGGAGCATATTTACCAACATACAATTATTCTCGATTTGCTGGTTGTTTGTTGCTTGATATGAAGGATCATGTTGACTCATAAGAGGTGCTGTAGTGATACTTTACACAACATCCAGGGGTCATTTTTTAAAGACACAGTAGTACACAATATCAGTGAATACTCGGTCATTCTGATTATAACAAGCTTTTGGACTCTTGTGAATGTAATTCTTTGTGCAAGAATTGAAAAAGCCTGTGTTCATATTCCAATGTGAGAAGTAATGAGAACGGCGGGTGGTGAAATTCTGATGAATATAAAAGCTTGAGGTATATTTAGTTACTGTTTTCCAGTTTTGCAATTTTCTTTCAGGATTCTATAAGTCAAAGGAGATACTGGGTTTTTTTGAACTTAATTTGATAAATTGATTGTTACCAAATTTTTTGTAACTATCAGATGTTATTATAATGAGCAATAGGTTTCTAATCTTATAAACCCCTACTATGTCATGGTTGGTTCTGTCGGCCAGATAATATCATTGACGTGTATACTTCAGAAAAATACAATAATGAAAAACAGAGACTGTTGAGACAATCAGGTCAAAGGGAAGAGAAAACGGGAAACTAAATGAGAGTTTCTTATTCAGTAGTTGAAGTTGAAGAATTGGTTACTTAACCTTAAGAAAGTTTGCAATTTATGAAGTCATGGGGTTGGGTGGTGTGGGCGGGGTAAGTCCATTTTACTCTAGCTCACTATAAAAGATGTGTATAATGAAGTTTCCTTGGTAGTTGTATACGAATTTCCTCATTTTTTTCTTATTGTTATCACTTGCTGTATGAGGCTATGGTCACGTTGCCATTTACATAATTTTCTGTGATCTGTTCATTAATTACCAAGTCATGATTAGGTTTGACCCAATTCTGGTGGAAGTCCTGTTTCTTATTTATTGAGTGAGCGTCTTCCACAAGGTGTACGTCTCTTTGCTAGCACAGGAGGATGGGGAGTCACAATTTAGCATCTATTTACGTGCATCTGGTGATTGAGTTTATCCATATCATCTGAAGAACATTTCAAAAGCGTGTCTTGTCAGGAATCTAATTTTCGAGTTTCAGATCCCTGTAACTTGATCTTGATTTTCTGTGTCCATTCATGGATCCAGCATCTTTCTATGCTTTTACATTGTTTAGTTCTATGGTTGGTGCATGCATATGCTTCATCTTTTTTCGAGTACTTAAGATAGAATTCTTTGCATGCCGCTTATTGTTATTATTATCTTATTTCTGTATCATGCTTTGTTCTTTGGACGCATTGAATCGTGCCATGCCTTAGTTCTTGGATCACCAAGTCACCAACATTTGAGCATATGATAGGATTTGATCAATGTGGTCCATAAGGTTTAAAACAAATAGTTATCATGATTCTTTCTGTTTATCTCGAGTTCTCTCAATCTCAAAAGCACACAGAAAAGCACACAGAAAAGCACACAAACAATCTTCTTTTGTACTCATTTAGACTTATGTTATAATGCTTTGGTTACAATGATTATAATTCTTTCAAGTTCTGCTAGACTCGGTTCAGTATATATGGACTTGCTGTGATTTCCTTGTTCATGGCTCTTCATTATGTTGTTCTCCCTTTCATAGAATGTGCCAAAGTATGCTGAATAGCATGACTGTTCTCCGCATGAGTGCTTTGCATGCTTCAATTGCCTTAATAATATGCTTAATTTAATAAGCTCAAACATTAACATGTCTACACTGATCTTGATGACTTTCTAGCATTCACAGCCGTAGACATGGCTGCTGCAGGTCCAGAGGAACAAATTCTGAATCAGCCTGACAACATTCCTGATGATGGGGACACTGAAAACCAGGAGGAGGAGGCGGCAGCAATGATTGAAGAACCACAATCAGGTATGACTATGATTTTTCCTATTGTTCATATGAATAATTGTGATATAGTATTCATTTCAAAACCAGTATCCCACCAAAGTCTGATAGCTTTGGTGCATTTTTGAGTGTATTCAATAACTTCTACCACTTTTAACAAAGAGAGAAAACGGTAGGAGGAACCCAGTTTTAAGATATTTTAACAGTTCTCATATTAGGGGTCTGCATCATTTGTTAATTTTTCATAAATCCATGTTGTCTTGTGTGGCTGGCTGAAAGACACCAAAGAGATGATGTCTTTTTCTAGTTGGATTTCATTCTAGATTTAACTGTTTACTTTCTGTCTCATATAATATACATACTTGATGCTATAACTGGTTCTGCACTTGTAGGAATCCTAGAAGCTACTTGCATGATAATCTTTTTCTGGTTCTCATATGATATGCTGTGTGTGATGAGATAATCTGCAAGTCTCTGGTAGTATTCAAACATTTGGCTTGTTATGTGTATGAAATGTATATCTTACTATAAATAATAATACAATTACATTTGCTCTATATTGGGAATCAAACTGTTAAACCTGTTTATTTCTCTTTGATTGTGTGTAGCCATTTCTATATTAAGATGATCAAATGACCATGTAATTCTGATTCAAACAAAGTACGCATAAAAAATTGTCTTGTTACCTGAAGTCCTCCACTCTCCATTTTGTGGGTCCCATTTTTTAATCCAGATAAATGAGGTTATGGGGCCCACAAATATGAAAATCAAGTAACCAAAACAACTTGGTCTTGAACATCTTACCTTCTTGAAGCTGGGATTGAGCTGTTTAGATCTGTTGGTTCTTGCATTTCACTTTACAGGAGATGAAGGTGCAAATGACGTTGATTCAAACTGGAGTATGGAGTGTTCAACAGTTCTGAGAGTAAAAACTTTACATATTAGCTCTCCAATTTTGGCGGCAAAAAGTCCTTTTTTTTACAAGGTGAATCTCTCAATGTTTACATGGATGTACTTTTTCTGTGTTTGGAATTCTTCAGTTGGTGATAGGCATTTCCATTTATCTTGAATGCAGCTCTTTTCCAATGGGATGAGGGAGTCGGAGCAACGACATGTAACTTTGCGGATCAATGCCTCTGGTATGTCTCTTTTTGAGCCTCTTCTAGCATCTCTAACAGAATCTCCAAAATGGAGATTTTGGAGTTTTAAACCAGAACTTTTTTTTCTTCAACAGATCCACCAAAATTTTCTCCAAAATGGAGAAATTTTGATAGAGAGAATAAAAATCTTCATATTTGGAGATTTTAACTTTGGTTATAAAGAAATTATAGAGAATCTGTTGGAGATGCTCTTACTTCAATTGTCGGCTTTTCTCTTATCTCGATTCCCGATATTAGTTGCAGATCAATGTCTATGGACTAATTGACTGAACACATTTCACACCTAATTTGTCTGCCACCTTTTCTTTTGGAACAGAGGAAGCTGCCCTTATGGAACTTCTCAACTTTATGTACAGCAATACCTTAACGGTGACTACTGCCCCTGCTCTGCTGGATGTGTTGATGGCCGCCGACAAGTTTGAGGTGGCTTCATGCATGAGATATTGCAGCCGTTCATTGAGAAATCTGCCTATGACCCCCGAATCTGCACTTCTCTATCTCGATCTTCCATCCAGTGTCTTAATGGCTGAAGCAGTTCAACCATTGACTGATGCAGCAAAACAATTCCTTGCCGTTCGCTATAAAGACATAACCAAGTAAGCTAATGATGCATTTGTGTGTCTTTTCTGTATTTCTTTGCTTTTTTCTTGAAATGGAAAATGAACTCACACACCGATGTCACTAAGTAGGCTCAACCCCACTGCTTAGATGTAGAGGCAGGGGTGGATTGGGCTAGGGAGTGCCCATGTCCCTCTCTATAGTCTGGACGCATTGGAAAAAAAATTGGGGTCTTTAAGTGTGCACCCACTTTAATTAGATAAAGTGGCTGCAACCTACTTGTGTTGTCATTGCATGTGGCATTACAGGTTGCAAGTTCGTCAATTTTCTGGATTTGCCTTTGGGTAGATGTGATAATTTGTGGCCTTGGGCCGGATACCGGCTGGGACCAACCTCATTTTTTTGTCCAGTGGGCCTAATTTAACAAACTCAAGTTTTTTGTGGGTTTGATAACTTGCCCTTACCCACCCTATAAACGGACTGGGATTGTCTGAGAATTTTTTCTCATTAATATTCACGAGCTGTTCTGGGCTCACCCATTCTTTTGAGAATGGTTGTCCAAGCTCACTTTCTGTGGATATATATATATATATATATAGAGAGAGAGAGAGAGAGAGAGAGAGAGAGAGAGGGTAAGTAAGGTTCAGGGGAAAACCACAAAAAAGGAAAAACTGAAGAACGCCCTAGTAACCATTCATCTATTCAGTATGCACATGTGCATACAAGTAATT